CACACACACACACACACACACACACATATATATATATATATATATATATATTATTTTTTTATAAATATTTAAAACTTGCACAAAATTATTATTTCACCTCAGTTTGAAAGAATCAACAAGGTTTAGCACGAGAGTTTGTGAACACATCTTTCCAAGTGCAAGTAGTTTTTATAACTTCATAAGCATTTGAAATTGTGGTTCTTATGTATATTTTTATATGTTTCAACCAAAATAACTAAAATTAAAGCAAATTTTGAGTAAATAGTAACTGCATATACATATGTAATATATGTTAATTGAAATGTCATTGTATTTGACAAAATGCTAGTGCACTAACAGACATACAGATTTTACTGCATAATTATAAAGTTGTCTGTGTGTTAAAATTCTAATGCAAAGTGTGCATCTCATAATCTTTTTCCTAGGCCCCATCTTGCATACACTTTTAGGATTATATGTGCCAATTTGAAAGTCACTGAACTTCACTGTCATGAGGTGACTAAGTAAATCTGATTTCACAAAGGCTCTCCAGTCTGATTTGATTTGTTTCATTTGAGAAAAGTTTCTTTCAGTATCAGTATGATTCATAATATAGCACATATGTAAGGTAGATCTCTTGAGCTAACAGTACTCTGCTCAGTTGGTTTTGTGAGTTAGCGTTTCCATTTGCCAGCATGTTTACTATGGCTCATTTGAACTGGTCCCATTTGACTATACATAGGGCAGGATTAAATCCTTTTTGCTACATGGTTTTATAAAATGTTTTGCCAAGGTTTCAACTTTGTCTCGACCAAAGATATCTAAATTTTTTTTATCTGTAGGCCAAGATTTCACTTGAGCGATCCTGTTTTGAGATAGGGTAGAGAAAATAACAAATAAACTAAAGTTCTACTGAAAAAACACGTTTGAAATGCATTTAAGAGGTTTTAGGGATTACCATGAATGTTGAGAGTCAGCACGGGCCTCGGGCAAACATCCTCGCTGGGCCCTCTTTCTCTCTTTTTTTAACATTTTCAAGAATTTATTAAAAAGAAGATCCTAAATTAGGACAGCAACAAGCTCATAAACCAGACAAAATCATAGCAGCAGCCATTTTTACCTCACAGTATTAGCATAAAAATGTTAATAAAGTAACAACAAATATCTATTAAAGTAACAAATACATATTAATTATTACTCAAATTATTATTTCAGTCTGTCCTAATGTGTCAAGTGTCTATATGCAAAGAAGAGCCAAAAACTATGTTTTTTATCATTAAATGAAGATATAGCCTGTACATATGTAGATGCTTTACAGCATGACAAGTTTCATTTGCCCGGGCCACTGGGCAGTTGCCTCCTAACCATT